GCGGGGTGGCGGCGGCTGGTTGGTTCATGCCGTGCCAGGTACAGGGTCTGCTGGCTGGGTGCTGGCAGGCTTGCACCTGGCACGGGCACCGTCGCCAGCCTATGCCCCTTTAAGGGGTCCGGGGCCGGGAGGGGGGCAGACGAGTTTCCCTGGTGTTGGCCAGAGTGGCCACCAGGGAAACCTGGGGAGGGCTAGCCTCCCACTAGTTCGAATTAAGGGTCTACAGAGCCCTTAATTCGAACTAGTAAGTTCGAACTAGGCTTAATCCTCGTGGAATGAGGATTACCTAGTTCGAACTAAGCGCTCCGTTAGTTCGAATTAAATTCGAACTAACGGAGCGCTAGTGTAGCGCCTATGAAAGTTAGTTCGAACTAACGTCCGTTAGTTCAAACTAACTTTGTAGTGTACACATACCCTCCCTGTTTTGTCAAGGAAAGGCATTTTTGACGACACAACGTGCCAGTGTAGACACGGCCTTAGAAGAAAAAAAGGAATGCAACCACATACTCATGTTTCAATATAAATTGGGGGCTAGAACAACCTACATTGCAGGACAGGTGAGTAATGGGGACTACACTTACAGAAATAATTGTTCATGTTTAAATGGGTAGATAAATGTCTGCACCATAGGAGAACTCTAAAAATACCAGGTCACTTTGAGGTGTACACATTTATCTGCCGTAGAACTCTGTGCATTTATTCTCCCATAAGCTAAACATATATCCACAGGCAAAATAAAGCTGAAATTAGTATTACAGCATTTCCCATCACCCATGTTCAAGAGCAGTAACTATTAAAACAATAAGCGACGATGAGTCCTGTGGCACCTTATAAACTAACAGATTTATTGGCGCATAAGCTTTCGTGGGCAAAGACCCACTTTGTCAGATGCATGCATGCATCTGACAAAGTGGGTCTTTGCCCACGAAAGCTTATGCGCCAATAAATCTGTTAGTTTATAAGGTGCCACAGGACTCCTCGTCGCTTTTGCAGATTCAGACTAACATGGCTACCCCTCTGATATTAAAACAATGTACACTGAGAGGTTGATGATAATCCTGAGATGGTGGTAGATATTAATCCTGAATTAAAATCTGCAGGCATGTGGGGAGCATATTCTGATACCCATATTTATCCTGAATAGTACCTAACTCCACAGGCAGTCCCACTGATTTGAGTGAGATTATTTTCTGTGCTGTTCAGGATGAATAAGGGTACCAAAATCTAGCCCATAGTTTCAGGATATACTGTTGCATTAATAAGAAAATCTGCACTTACGGGTGGCATTCTGATGCTTTTCTGCAGCAGACTTTGCTTTATAGCTATCCCATATAAGAAAACCTGTTACTCTTTAAATATCAAAAAGCTTCAGCACGTTACCTTGTAGCCGCTACACGTCAACCCTGCATTCCTCTTGGCCAAGACACACTTCATCCGGAGAAAAAATGATCTTTCTATTTCGTACTCTGAAAGCATAAATCCATGGCAGTTTAATTATTAACAGAGGCTTCAAAAAAATCACCCATAATATTTATTTTGACAATAAGTATTTGCCAGGGTACTTGAGCCATTTATATTAACCTTTGTATTGTCATTATTATTTTTAGGGAAGGAAGTCAATAAAAATATGGATATGCACATGACACATTATTGTCCCCATTCATGATCAGCGGTCTCTGCTGAAGATGCTGATAGTTATGATTTATTTTAAAAGTTAGAGTTGAAGGCTGTGATGTTTTGGGGTTCACTCAGGCTAGTAATACTTGCTTTGTAATCCTGTGTGTCTTGTGATTGTGCAGCTCACTTTGATCACTGTGATGGATCCTGATTAGAAAGGCCAGTAAAAATCTAGGAACACTGTTCAAGTCCGTTTCTCTCTCACCCACAAAAAGTGTAGTTTGCTAGATTAAATTTTAGATAAATGGGTTCACTTTTATTTGCATGTAGTCATCTCTACCTTTATTCCTTTTACTGGGCATCGCTTAATCTGCCCTCTTTTGTTACTACATTTGTTTTGCTGTCCTTATGAATCATCAGTGCTGGTACAGTTCAGTGAAGTGTGTGATCCTGCTCAGATGGTAGATGTGAACGTTCTACTGTCTTTATAGAGGCAGCAAACCCAACACTTTTTCTGAGAAGATCTAGTTAGTGAGAGGGACTGGACCCTAGTGAGAAGACCTGGACCTTGAAAGAAGAATGATTTAGAGTGAATTCAGACCTGGAAAGCACTAAGGTCAGCCTGCAAAGAGTATTCACGTTGGGCAAATCTATGGCGAGACTTATGGGCTGCTGGCAGGCTGTTGAGGTAAGAGCTCTGACCCAGTGCTGCACAGTCACACAAGATAACCAGGGCAACAAGGCAGACAATGACTGAACTCCTCGCTGGCCTCGGTGAATCTCAGAATGTCACAGAGGCACTGGACCTCCAAGCTTTAAACAAAAGGCCTTTCCCTTGAGCAGTCACATCTCAGCATCTGCTGGCCTCAAGGGAAAGGTACAAATTCAGTCTCCAATATGGTAGGATCATGATCTTGGAATCAAGGTCTTGGAAGCAGAATAGGAAACTTATTGAAAAGTTCACAATGTTGTAATTTCCGTGTACAATTCCAGTCATTGGGTCAAAACTTCAAGCCTAAATATTTTATAAAGTTGCTACATATTCAGGGCACTAACAAGCAGGATCCTCTTAAGGTAAACTTTTAAGCAAAATATTTTTACTGGAAAAGTTACTAATGTTTTGTTATTTAAGCTCTGCTCTGGCTTAAAAAAATTTCTTATAAAAATGTAAAATCATCCTGTAGCAAATATTTTTTGAGGAGAACTGTGGTGGGTCTAATAAATCTAAAGGCAGTCAACAGTCCTAACCTTTTGCTATGAATGCTGCTGTTTTAGCAGGGAAGGATAGAAGCAGCAGAGGAATCTCACTCTGTACTTCAATGAATAAAACAAAAGGAAAAACTAGGTAGCATTTTAAAGACTAACAAGATGGTTTAAATAGGTGATGAGCTTTCGTGGGCCAAACCCACTTCCTTTTGTTTTAGCAAGATCTGACTCACACGGCTACCTCTCTACTACTCTTCAATGAATAGGCACTTCAAAAGGTATTTTCAGTTATGTTTCAACACATTGATTTCTTCCCAGCCTGAGGGCTTGATTCAAAGCCCACTGAAGTCAATTAGGGTGTGTCTACACAGCACTGTAACTCGAAATAAGATATGGAATTTGAGCTACACAAATTGCATATCTTATTTCGATGCTATTTCAAAATAGCTTATTTAGTCATTTCAAAATAAAGCGCTATTCCAAAACGTCCCTTACTCCTCGTAGAAATGAGGTTTACAGGGATGTTGGAATAGCGTGCCCAAAATAATAGGCTTGCTGTGAAGACATGGGATAGCTGTTTTGGGATACTCCAGTAGCGTTGCAGTGTAGACGTACCCTTAGAGTTGTTCCATTGACTTAATGGGCTTTGGATCATCCCCTTGTATATCATTCTAACAACCTATCTTAATTTGACTTCACTGCAAATGCTGTGTTGTGTATTTTTGTTCATCTGTCACCCATTTAACACCTGCAATTATTTTAACCTCAGATGCTACACAGAAACTATTAACTCTCTGTGTTATACTCTATTTAAAAATCTTAGAAAGCATCTAAAGAAAAAGGGGGCACTTTTCATGTTAGAGCTCTGCTTAAAGGAATAAAAGCAATACACACTGACTCTCACGTAGTATCAACCTTCCAAATGAACAGCTTTTTCTGTTCAGTGAACTGAAGGCCAAATGATTTCCTTACAAACTTAGGGTACGTCTACATTACAGTGCTAATTCGAACGAACTTAGTTCGAATTAGTTAATTCGAACTAAGCTAATTCGAACTAACGCGTCTAGAACTAAAAACTAGTTCGAATTAGCATTTTGCTAATTCGAACTAGCATGTCCACATTAAGTGGACCCTGAACCGGGCTTAAGGATGGCCGGAAGCAGTGCCGGCAGGGCATCAGAGGAGGACTTAGAGCATGGAGATGCTGTCTCAGGCTAGCCGAGGGCTGTGCTTAAAGGGTCCCGACCCCCACCCCGGACAGACAGTTCTCAGGGGTGCCCCGCTTGCAAAGCAGTCCTGGCTTGGAGTGCCCGGAGTACCCACACTGGGCACATCACACCACTCGGCCATCAGACCGGCTGCACTTGCCGCAGGCTGCCATCTAGGGAGAGGGGGCAATTGGGGGGCTGCAGGAGAGCTTCCACCCCCAGAAGCCCGCAGAGCCAGCCCAGTCCTCCCCATCAGGGGCTCGTACCCCATTCCTCCCTCACCTCCTTCCACTTACCCTTCCCTAGCCCCCCTTCCTGATGTACAAAATAAAGAAAATGTGTGGTCAAAAATAGAATCTCTCTTTATTGAACAAAACTCGGGGAGACTGGGAAAAGGAGGTGGGAGAGGGGAAGAGAAAGGCTGGGAGAGGGAAGGGCAACTAAAATGATCAGGGGTTGGGAACAG